AAATGCTCACCGCATAAAAACGAACCATTAGAAAGGGATCATGGTTTGAGGAGAGTCATTTGAGAATAATAGATATTTTAATTTTTACGTGGATGTGGGTGTATGAAGCTAATAGTGAAATGATTAAAACGGAACTCAATATTAACAATGATAAAACTATAGTGGATTAGAAGGATTTTTGTAGGGGTGTCTGTGTCGATATATGTACGCAAAAGCATGGAATAATTGGGGGACCTGGCATGACTGTAGAAATTGATGAAAGAAAATTTGGGAAACGAAAATAAAATAGGGGTAAACGGGTGGAAGGAAAGTGGGTGTTCGAAGGTGTTGAAAGAGGAAGTAGAAGGTGCTTTTTTGAAGTTGTTCCAGATCGTATGAAAGAAACTTTGTTGAGTGTAATTCAACAAAATATCTTACACGGCACAACCATTATCTCCGACTGCTGGAAGTCATACGACCGTCTTTCGAATAGCGGCTTCGTACACTTTTCAGTTAACCACTCTGTGAATTTTAAGGATCCAGAACTGGGGCTCATACTAATAAGATCGAATGTATGTGGTCAATCATTAAAACAGACTTTAGAAAAAAATGTCCGGCACCACGGATGTCATTTTCGATTCCTATTTCACCGAATTTATGTGGCAATTGAGGTACATAGATTCTACTCAAATTTAAACAATATCTAACTGCTATTAGAGAATTCTGTGTACCTAAAAGTGAGCTCAATAAGGTGAGTCGATTTCCCCCCTTTCTTTCTGTGCTTACTCGTTTAATTTTTGTTTCGATTTAAAATGCATTTTATTTGGTTTATTAAGTTTGCTTATATTGTCTTCATTGCAATTTGATTATGTTTTGGCTATCCTACCTGTTTGCACAGTGTTCAATGCGAACAGGAATGGCACCAAACAAAAATCGCCAAGTTCGCCAACGGGCCACCGTCAAATATAGGGAACTACTCTTATATGCACCCTCAGGTCGCCAAATTTCTCGCCAAACATTTTTGAAGAGAAACTACACGCCGGCATATTACTATCAAAATTTTTTGTCTACATTTCGAATTTTAAGCCTAAAATGTCTCCAAAAATGCCGTTTTCGCACATGCAAACACCACATTTTGAAGGCACAACTTAAGCTAAAAATCTGAAACAAAAATAAAAAATATAGATAGCAAAAAGCTAAAGTTTCTAAAAAAAAAAATATTTGACAAGAATCCATGTACACATCGATGTTTTAACTTCAAAAAACATCTATGAACTGCACATTCTAGGCAGCGAAGGAATCTATGAACTACGCACACCTCGCTTGAATAAATTAACATAACAACAATAAATTTCAAAGAATACCATGTACACAGCATTCTGTTTTTAAACTCAAAAAAACATCAAAGAATTGCACAATCTAGGCATTGTACACAAATCAACCAAACTAAACCAAATTACAAACAATTCAAAAAATGGTTGATCTTTACAATATGGTAACTGGTAGTTTGGCGATGATAAAGGTTACTACCTGGCACTTTGGTAATAATGTGAGCAGTACTCAGTTCCGATTACACATTATTTTGTGTGAGGGAAATGAGAGATCATAGGATATGTCATGTGATATTAAGGACGAATTAACGGTTCTTTAATCGGAAAAAGGGGGAAATCGGGGAAATCTGAAATTTTGTTTTGGCTTTATCAGTGTTGTGTGAACAGTGTTCGTGAATTTTTTGATCCCATGGCTGTAACAAAGTGAATTCGAATGGGTATTTATGTATGTATTAATTTAATGTATGTGCTCATTTATATTTTAAGTAGTGTTTTGAATTTTATATTTTAATTAAATGATCGTTATTTTGTGAATTTTAGTTTGTAGGAATTTGGTATACGTTTTAGTTGAAGTAAACGTGCATGGAATAATTTAATTCTGACACTAAGTATTTGTAATGGTTGCGGTATGAATTCGTTGGTGACATGTATAATGTAAGATCATTTAGAGGTAAAGTTTCTGGATTTTATTTATTTTATATGTGGAAATGCTCATTACTTTTTCGTGATCAGGTATTTCATATATGTTCTTTTTACCGGGTTTAAAGGTTGAAAAATTGTCATGTATTTTCGTGAAATTTTTCTAATTTAATGAGAAAAAAGCAGTGTACATGGTATAGTGAAGAGTGTGCGCAATGCCATTTTGTGCAATTCTGGGATGTTTTTTTAAGTAAAAATAAGTTGGCATGTAATGTTTTAGTGATATTTTAATTAAATGATATTTATTTTGTGAATTTTATGTTTGTAGGAATTTGGTATACGTTTAAGTTGAAGTAAACTGCATGGAAAAAATTTAAATATTTGATACTAAGTATTTGTAATGCTTTGCGGTATGAATTCGTTGGTGACGTGTATAATGTAATAGATGATTTAGAGGTAAAAGTTTTTGGATATTTTATTTATTTTATATGTGGAAATGTTCATATTTGGGAAGGGTAAATACTTTTCGGCGATCAGGTAATTTCATATTAAATACTTTTTCGCGATCAGGTAATTTCATATATGTTCTTTTTACCGGGTTTAAAGATTGAGAAAATTGTCATGTATTTTCGTGAAATTTTTCTAATTTATGAGAAAAAAGCAGTGTACATGGATATAGTGAAGAGGGTGCGCAATGCTATTTTTGTGCAATTCTGGGATATTTTTTTTTAGTAAAAATAAGTTGGCGTGTACATGGTTTATGTGTATGTGTTATTTTGAAAAATGCGTAAGGAGTATGGTATTGTGCACTTTTTTCCCAATTTTGCCGTGAATATTTGTCATGATTAAGCAGTTTTGTTAGATAAAATTCTAGCATAAGTGTAATTCGGCTAGTAGATTGTTGGAAGAAAGTGTTCAGTAGATAAAAAGAAAAGAAATATGTCTTTACTTCGTGAAGACAAAATGGCGGCGGGAAAAAAAAATAGAGGGTTGCTGCAGGAGAGTTGGTCGCCAAAAAAACGCCAAGTTACCATAATGTAAAGATCAACCCAAAAGACAACAATACTAACAAAAATTCATGAATTAAATTTCTCCAGTCACACAATGTCTCTGAACAAAAGTGCAACGATTTTGCTATACCACATGCTTTCTTAGATTCAAAATTTCGAAAGTAATGATAAAAACTTCCTCCAAAGTTAACTTACTACACCAAAACCACAATCCAAATCTTAAAACTCCGCTGACAGCCACATACTTTACAAGCAACTATTTGACTGCAAATTCCCTCAAGAACTATCAGAAATGCCCTTCTTCGTCCGAGTTCTCATAGCAGATCCGCATTTCGGACACCGTTTTAAAAGTCCCACAGAAATTCCAAAAATACACTTCAATCCTCATAAACACACCAGTGCACAAAAAATTCATTAACAACTCCAACAGCGTACCTTTTAATACTAAATTTACTTTCCACACAACCTAAAAATACCGACTGAAATCTTGCCACCTGTCTTCATTGCATAGCCATTTCAAAACACGAATGACACGAACCAACGTGCAATTAAACCACTCCAGCAAATGATTTTTCAACGTCAACAGAGTTGCCATACAACACGCAATCATGCCAAAAACCAGTGCAGAACACATATCACCACATTTGGTGAAATTAGAGCTTATACATAAAAAGAGCCAAATATAGTTTTACCACAGGTTGTTTAGATATCTTTGCAAGTTTACAAGATCTATATTTTGCATGTTTACAGAATTAATTCAAATTTTTTGAAAACGTGTCAAACTGGACCGTCCAGTTTTACCGCTTTTCCCTACAAGTTTTTCAACCTAATGTTCTCTCTCTTCTATGCTTGGACATATTACCAGATTGAAAATCGTCAACATGGTTAGCCTGGGATAGCGCTGCCGCGTGGGTGCCTGATGTTTGCGAGCTGAGCTGCGTTCATCCGAGTCGACAAACCAATGAACCTGTAGCTCTTTTGATATTGTTTTTAATTAAAACAAATCAGACTACGTAAAACCAAACTAAAAAATTAAAAGGACATGACTAATTCTGTCTGCAAAATGCTATAGACAAAACAAGTACTCGGAATATTCTCTCAATTACAGACACTCTTGCTGTTGGCAGGATCTGTACACAGAACAATAACTTACGTTTAAATAATCATTTCTATGCATTCAAAATCAGTCATATTATATTATTAATAGACATTTACACAGATTTTTAATAAATGTTTTTTTTTTTTTTTTTTTTTTTCATATGCAGTAATACGCCACTTAAAAATATGCAACCAACAACAGTTGAGTCACCCCAATTTCTTATTGAAGAGGCTACTACATAAACATTTAACAATATATGTAAGTTGCAGGTTATAAATTTGACAGTGATATTTAATGTTAAATATAATTTGCTCCTATAATCTTCACATTTTTCCTCATTTGTAAATGCAAGATCAATTTAGTTTCTAATAGTAATGTCATATTAATAACATTTCAACATTTAATTACTTAAAATTTCAATAGTTAATTACATAACATTTCAACAACATTAAACTAGTTTCAACATAATTTAATTACTTCAAAGTAAAATCTGCAAAATTAGTAGTATACATGAAGGCCTAAATCTGTTGTCAAATATACCATAAAAGTTCAAAAAACTTTTTAAGATTGATTAAATCTATAACCTGCCTTTAGGATCCAACCAGTGGGATCAAGCACAAAAATTTGATAACAGGATTTCGCATCAAACTTAATCAGAATGATTCAAACTTTTGGCTTTATTACATACAAATTATTTAATATTTTGCTAACTCATACCGCACAACTTTATGTAAAAATTAAAAAAAAAAAAAAAAAAAAAGAATTCGATACGAGACTCAGAAACTATAGAAAGAAAATGGACTGATGAAAACTAAACAAACATCAATAGCTCTGACTTACATGTAATTATAAAACCAATATAATGATACAATTCAAATATAATGATGCCGAGATAGGTTGTGTTTTGGGTTTGCATACTATAAAATTTTACTGTTTACGTACCAACAGGCGGTTGAGGTAAATCCATTTCAACAAAGCTCGCTAAGAATATCTGTACGAAAATGAATGAACGATGATAAGAGTTGAAGAACGACACATGAATAAACTTAAATTAAATTCAGAATATAGTCATTTACAAATCATAACACTGCATTTATTTGTTCCCACTCACTTCATTTCAAATCAAAACATCTTTTCCGCGGTTAATTCGCAGTTAAACGGAAACAAAACATAAACAATAGAGAACAGAAAACTTGATTTTAACTGGTGAAGTTAAAAGAGAAAGTTTAAAACTTTATTAGTCCAAAGGGATTTCAGTCCCGAAGGACTATTGCTTTCGTTTTGGCATTTTGCGTCGGACTCATAAACGTCGGTTCACTTTTCATACTGTTGCCACAAAATGTTAGAGTCCTGCATTATATTTGAAGAAATTAAATAATGAAAAATCTGCATAAATGATTGTCTATTTCTCGCATTGTGATAAAACAATGGTACATAGAGCCATCGAATTTTGATGACGAAATCCTACTGCGAATATGGCATCTGGAAATCCCAAATTTGGAATTTGTTTTATTATCGATTTTATATTTTGTAAAACTTTAACGAATTTTGATTTACAAACTCAACAAAAAAAGCGAGAAATGGCAACGTTATGTAGAAAAAAAATTTTTATCTCCAGCTCGCGAGACTGTGTATATCGGAAATTCTAAAGATATGCTTAATTTGACATTATTTTGCGATATTGCTCTTGAACTGAATTTTATGGTTTAAGTGCAAAGAACATGATATTTAATAATAAAGGTAACACTCAAATGTTAAAAAACGCCCCTTTGGACGTAATTTAAAATCTGAAAAATTTCAGATTTTTAGTCCAAAGGGATTTGAATCCCGAAGGACTATTAGTTTCGTTTGGCATTTTGCGTCGGACTCATAAATGTCGGTTCACTTTTCAAACTGTTGCCACAAAATGTTAGAGTCCTGCATTAATATTTGAAGAAATTAAATAATGAAAAATCTGCATAAATGTATGTATATTTCTCGTATTGTGATAAAACAAACGGTACATAGATTCATCGAATTTTGAATAACGTAATCCTCCAACGAATATGAGCATGTGGAAGACCAAATTTGAAATTTGTTTTTATGATCGATTTCCTATTTTTTAAAACTTTGACGAATTTTTGATTAACAAACTCAAGGATTTCAAAGCGAGCAATGCAACGTTGTCAGAAAAACATCTCCAGCCTGTGAGCCCAAATTCTAATATGCTCGTTTAAAACATTTGGCGAATTGCTGTGCACTGGACTTATGTTTAAGTGCGAGGAACATGATATTTAATAAAAAAGGTACAACACAAATGTTAAAAACGGCCTTTTGGACGTAAGTAGATCTGAAACATTTCAGATTTTTTTTTTTTTTTTTTCAAACTTTTGGTCACTTAAAAATTTCCTAAATTATTGAAGAAAAATTATTTGGAAATGTGCGTTGTCCTAAAATTAAGGTGCTTGTTTGATAAACCGTCTAATCTTTCTTAACTATGACTAAACTGTCTAATCAAATATATTATTTAATTTGCTTAATGGTACAGAAATAAACACGTTTTATATCCTCTTTTCCACCTTCTACTCCCTATACGATATTTACTTCCCTTGGTTTAAAAAGTGTCGCCTACAGCAAGGGAAGAAATTTTCCTCACCAAGGCCTTCGAACCTCGGCATTACCCTCTATATATAACAAGGAAAATTAATGAAATTAAACATATTGTGAAAAGCTAAGACAAGAATTCTTTTATTTAAAGCTTAATAATTAAGAGCTTTTTACCTCTAGGTACTGTTTAGGGTATTTTCAGTTTGGCTCAAGAAAATCACAATTTTATAGTTCCAATTGGAAAAAGTGAATGTTTTGCACACTTAATGTTTATAAACTGATAGACCCTCCTTTGTGTTACAAAGGAGGGTCTATCAGTTTATAAACATTAAGTGTGCAAAACATTAAATTTATAAACATTAAGTGCTTCAATACAATGAAGCATTTGTTGAAGTCACTATTAAATTTACCTTTGAGAAGTCATGTTCACATAGACTTGCTCAAATACAGATGTTATTAATTGCATTTTGAAAAAACATAACAAATTATGGAATTTTCGTTTCTAAGAGAAGATGTATAACCCACGTGATGTTTCCTTTATCTGGCAGAAAAAAATGTAGGTTACCCCCTCAAAAGAGCCAAATACCGGTACTAAAGACAAAGTGCTATCCAATATTTCTTTAATCCGTTTTCTTTGCATAATTTTCGGTTCTTGACTTCTATAGAGCTTTGACGACAGAAAATGGCGTTGATGCAATTCGGGCTTAGGAAAATGTGATTCGTCGTCAAATGTTGAAAACATCCACGAAAATAAAATTGACAACAACAACAACAAAAGAAAAAAACAATAAATCAGCAATACATTCAATATCTATATAACGCAAGTTATTTAATACACTCTTTTTCAAAACGAAGCATCATGAAGAAAGTGTTTTTTTTTTAAAAATTAAACATGCGTAAAGCTCATACACAGATAAATAGTTGGTGAACCCCTGGCAGCGATGCATGCTTGTAAACATTGAATTAAGGAGTGATAAGGATTCCTTATCTCATCCTGCGATAATCACTACCAGGAATTCCTCAATTGTTGCTCCAGATGTGCGACATTTAGGGTGTCCGAATCTACCATATCCCATACATGTTCCATTGGAGAAAGATCTGGTGAGCTTACAGGCCAAGTAAGCGTATCAATGCTCAGAGATAGTCCATAGGTATGCGAGCCGTATAGAGTCTATTATTATTCTGTTTGAAAATGGCCCCAGGATCCGTGAGTAATTTCTGAATATTTAGGAGGATCATGCGAGAGTAATTTCTGAGTATTTAAGCCGTCACAGCGGATCATGATGGGAATCATCATCATCTGCTGTGACATTCTCCAGACGATTGTATTGATTTGGGGAATTAAAGGTAGACATCTTGAAGGCTGCTGTGGGAGCAATCCTGTCTCAGCCAAGCACCGTGAGGTGGTGAAAATGCCACGGATGGTATTGTTTTATTACTCGTCCGTTTCCGCATTTAATTTAAGTACTACCGGTTTAAAAAATCATCCCGGTTGTTGCTCTAGCAATCGTTCTCTAGCAGCTGGGCCATCTCACTATGATTTTATACAGTTCTTTCAGCTTATTTTCGTGGACAATTGTCCTTTATTAAAGAGAAAAAAAAAATACAAGAATCCTGATTAGTACAGAGTTGTTAGTAATTATTTTCCCTATAATATTAAACAATGTATACAACATATACAAGTTCGTAGTACGTAACCAACGCGAACTTTCATAGGCATGTTGCTTGTTAATAAGCCTTCTTCAACTAACTTCATGAGTTGAACAGGAGTGATGTAGACCATGAGGGCTTTGATCCCTTTTAAGAAGTCGGTAAAAATGGTATTGGTCGGAATATTCCTGGTGTTCGGGATGTGCTCGAGCTTAAGGACGGTCAAGAATGTAATGCAGAACATTTGCCTGATTTTCCCTTACCCCTCAGGCCCAGGCAACATTTCGTTTGAGCACCTAACACAGTATAACGGAGATTTGCCCTGATTGGAATAAGCTTGCAACCAGAAGTGGTCCGACTTAATCTTTTTGAGAGTAGCTTTCAGGAAGATGTCGAACATGAAATGTCCTGTGGCCCCTTCATTTCAGATGGCTTGCCAGATTTGTATGAATGTATTTTTATACGCTTTCAATGAGTTTTTTTAAGGTCACATCTTCCGAGGTTGGAACCTCTATGTCACAATAATAATGAAATTGCCAGCTTGGCTAACGTTCCCTTTTATCCTGGTGCGGCCAAACCTAATCGGCGCCGTTGTGCAAATGTCTAGCGAGCGCTTTTATCTAGTGACGATATTAAAGAGACATTGCTTATGGTTAACATTTAAAATGAACTCTTATTAACATAAAAATATCAAAAACCAAAAAAATTGGTTTTTATCCTTTGTATGCAAATTTTGTAATTTATATGCAAACATTTTGTGCTTTGTTAAAACCTATACCTCAAACATATTTATTGAAGAATTATACATACATTTATGTTGTCAAAAACCGCTCAATCTGTTAAGTGTTGACTGCCCTGCCGAACAGCCTGAAGAAGACATGAATATTCGTAAATATATAGCGTTCGTGCGGCATGGAGGCACTCTAACTATGTGAGGCGAAAGTCCTCTCAGAAGCTGGGTGGTAGGGAAGGAGGGGTGGGAAACGCTTCGACCCGTCCTCCCAGAACGCTCTCCATCAAAATTAGGGGCGAAACTGAGCTTAATTGCACTATCACCTTAAGGTGCTCAAGGCTGCTGCCAACGACAGTTTTAAGCTCCTTGCCACGAGGAATTTTGTGAGCTTGGGCTGACTATAGGTTAGACAAGTGAGCATTAGTCAACATTTTGTAAAAAAGTAACACTGCAAGCGAAGCGAATTGATATACTTAACGCATTGGATACCAAATATACTGCTGAACACTATTATCTTAAAATTAAAAACAAATTAATATACATATCTAATACGTTTGCACTGAATAAACTATTCTTCTCAGTGTAGTTTACGACGAGGTTCAAACTATGATAACAGCAGGGCATAATTACAAAAGGGCTCAAAAAATACTTTAGAGCTGTTATCTAGGGATATATCCAAAATTCTTTTCTGCACACCGCTAT